ACGCGTGCCCACAGAGAGGGCTCTGAGGGCCACCTCTGGCACCCGTCCCATAGGTTCGCCACCACTGCCCTAGAGCATCCCTGAGAAGTGTTTGTCCAGGGAGGGGGAGCTCACCACCTCCCGAGGCAGCCGATTCCACTGTTGCACAACTCTGTCAAAGTTTTTCCTAATATCCAGCCAGTACCCTTCCCACCCTGAATTTTGATTCCCACTCCTCCACACGAAGTCAGCTGGGTGACCTTGGGTCAGTCACAGTTCTCTCAGAGCTCTCTCAGCCCCACCCTGCCTCACAGGGTGTCGGTTGTGGGAGAGGAAGGCAATTGGAAGCCGCTCTGAGACTCTGAGTGAAGGGCGGGGTATAAATCCAACCTCTTCTTCTTCTTCCTCTTCTCTCTTCTTCATATCTCTGGTGCCTGGCATTGTGTTTTATGGCAGACGTGGCCCGGCCCAACAAAGTGACATTTAGGTCAGATTCGGCCTTTGTAACAAATGAGTTCGACACATCCGGGCTATGCCGTGCCCCCTTCCTTCCCAATCAACTTAGCTGGGTCCCCGTAATGTTTTCAGCATTTCTTTACCATTTCTCTCCACCCCATAAAATTGCATACAACTTTCCCGTGCCCAATTCACATTTAAACAGTACTTTAAAAAAACCGAGTGCTTCGACATTTATTTGTCCAAAGGGTGCTGCCGCCTCTTGATCGTGTCGGTTGTCCCGTTCCACACCTTTTCCAGCTTTCTTTCCTGAGACCAGAACGGCACACATTCTTAAACTTCTCTGGCCACAGTGGCCTCTCTGTGAGAATGCACAAGTGGTGGGTCAGAACATCAGAAGAGCCCTGCTGGATCAGACCAGTGGTCCATCTACTCCAGCATCCTCTCTCACACAGTGGCCTCAACCAGTTCCTCTGGAGGGCCAACAACAGGGCATGGAGGCCAAGGCCTTCCCCTGATAAGAACATCAGAAGAGCCCTGCTGGATCAGTCCAGTGGTTCATCTACTCCAGCGTCCTCTCTCACACAGTGGCCTCAACCAGTTCCTCTGGAGGGCCAACAACAGGGCATGGAGGCTGCGGTCTTCCTCTGATAAGAATGTAAGAATTCTGCTGGATTAGACCAGTGAGGGTCCATCTAGTCCAGCATCCTGTCTCACACGGTGGCCAACCAGTTCCTCTGGAGGGCCAACAACAGGGTACAGAGGCTGAGGCCTTCATAAGAACATCAGAAGAGCCCTGCTGGATCAGACCAGTGGTCCATCTACTCCAGCATCTGGCCACACAGTGGCCTCAACCAGTTCCTCAGAAGGGCCAACAACAGGGCACAGAGGCCAAGGCCTTCCCCTAATAAGAATGTAAGAAGAATTCTGCTGGATTAGACCAGTGAGGGTCCACCTAGTCCAGCGTCCTGTCCTCACACAGTGGCCATCCAGTTCCTCTGGAGGGCCATCAACAGGGCACAGAGGCCGAGGCTTTCCCTGATGTTGCCTCCTGGCTCTAGGATTCAGAAGTTGACTGCCTCTGAATGTGGAGGTTCCCCTCAGTCACCATGGCTGGTAGCCACCGACAGAGGAGAAGTCATGGTGACTTTGCTGCCAGAGGATGTAGTGATGGCCACAGGAAGAAACAGCTTTAAAAGGGGACGACACAGATTCATGAAGGGTAAATGAATCTGTGCAACCCCCTTGCTGTTTATTCCTGTGGCCCTCACGACATCCCCTGGTGGCGAATTCCACAATGTAACCACTCACTTCGTAAACCATCCCACACCTCAATCACTCTCTGCGTCTTTCCTTTTGTCCGTCCTGAGCCTACTGCCCGTCAGCGTCATTGGATGCCCTCACATCTTTGGGAGAAGAATTTCTCTTCTGTCAGCTCTCTCCACCCCATGCCTAATTTTATAAACCCGTTATGACTCCCTCCCTGTGTGAGAACCTCCAACTCCTGGGCCAATCTGTTTTATTTTTAAATAGGATGCAAATGGAGGGGGAGGCAGAGATTGCAAGGTGTTTCCTTGTTTTTAAAGGGAAGAAACCCCCACTCCTCCACACTTTGTGAAGCAGGCTTAATTGGTGGGAAGGTTTGATAAGGATCTTTCCCCCCCTGGACTGCTTGTTTTCTACATGCAAAAAGGTAAAGGTAAAGGTTCCCTTGCTCGAAAGCCAGTCGAGTTCGACTCTAGGGTTGCGGTGCTCATCTCTGTTTCAAAGCCGAAGAGCCAGCGCTGTCCGAAGATGTTTCCGTGGTCATGTGGCCGGCATGACTAAACGCGAAGGCGCACGGAACGCTGTTCCCTTCCCACTGAAGCGGTACCTATTCATCTACTTGCAATTTCTTGCTTTCGAACTGCTAGGTTAACAGGAGCTGGAACTAGAGACGGGAGCTCACTCCGTCATGCGGCACACTTGGGTCTCGAACTGCTGAACGACCGACCTTCCACAGCCTGCAGTTCAGCGTCTTCACCACTTGAGCCACCGCAGCTCCTGGGAGCGTTCAGACATGCAATCCCGTCTCCGCCTCCCCGCATCCTTAAGTCCAGCAACAGAGAAGCCATCCTTATAAAACTGCACGAACGCAGCTAAGACCAGCAGAGGTTGTTTTGCACCGCTGGCCGGCAGGCAGCCCCCTTTTGTTATTCAGTTGTGCCGGCTTTATAGTTAACCTGCTCCTTCTGTTGCTTCCCAGGCTGCGATTGGCTGCCGAGTGGCGCAGGTGGTGATGCAGTACTGCATTCTGGCCAATCACTATTGGTTTCTGGTGGAGGCGGTCTACCTGTACAAGCTTCTGATTGGCGCTGTCTTTTCGGAGAAGAATTACTACACCCTCTACCTGTACCTCGGCTGGGGTAAGGAGGGAATGTTTGCTGGGGGAGGTGAGGTGAGGTGGAGTGGGGTGGGTACACAGGAAGCGGCCGCCTTCTGAAAGAGGGTGTGCTGCACCCACAACACACTCCCTGCGCTGAGAACGGCATCATTCAGGGGGAAGGCTGGGCTCTGCCCTTCTCCCTAAGAGGCTAGCTTTCTACATGCAGGGGAGCACTGGCAAAGTACTGTTGCAGAATACAGCCGGGGCGACCAGCTATCCTATGGCTGTTCCTAACCCCTGCTGGATTGGGCCACAGATCCATCCAGTCTACCATCCTCTTTCCAGCAGTGGCCGACCAGCTAATAGAATCCTAGAGTTGGAAGGGACCTCCGGGGTCATCTAGTCCAACCCCTTCAACAATGCAGGGAATTCACAAATACCTCGGCCCGCCCCACCCCCAGTGACCCCTGCTCAGTTTGGTGTAGAGGTTAGGAGCGTGGACTCTAATCTGGGAGAACCGGGTTTGATTCCCCCCCACTCCTCCACATGCAGCTGCTGGTGTGACTTTGGGTCAGTCACAAGTACTTTCAGAGCTGTTCTCTCAAGGGCAGTTCTCGAGAGAGCTCTCTCAGCCCCACCCAACTCACAGGGTATCTGTTGCGGGGTGTGGAGGGGAAGGGAAAAGGATTGCAAGCTGCTCTCCTTCGGGTAGTGAAGGGCAGGGTATAAATGCAATCTCCTCCTCCTCCTCCTTTGTACCCAGAAAGGGGGGGGGGAACCTTCCAGGATCTCCAGCCAAACTGGCCTGGAGAAAAATTGCTTCCTGACCCCAAAGTGGTGATCAGCATTTCCCTGGGCATGTAAGAAAGCGTCACCCAGACCCCTTTAAGTCCATGTAAACTAGGTGCCATCACCTCATCTAGTGGCAGTGAGTTCCACACGTTAGCAGCTTACTGTGCAAAATCATGATTCCTTATTGTCTGCCTCAGATTTACTAGTGACCAGTGCCAAAGGGTGACTCCAAGCTCTAATAATATGAGGGAGAAAAGCATCTTCCCTCTCTGTCTTGCCTTCCTTTCATTCCCCTGGTCCTTGCTGAAAACACAATACTGAGAGAGGCGGAGAAACGGTCAGAACCAGTGCTCCCTCTAAGCTGAGTGTGAGCCAGCTCACAGGTTTTGAGCCTCCGGCTCACACGTTTTTTTCTTCGCTCAGGAAGGATGGGGCTCCAGAGCAAACTCATTGATGCAGCAGCCAAATGGCTCGCTCACAGCTTTCATGGCAGTAGCTCACAAAGGAGAATGTTTGCTCACAGGTCTCCACAGCTTAGAGGGAGCGTGAACCTGTATGTGTTCTGAACTGGCACGTCCCTGGCAGCATGCCCGTTTTGGGTTGACTTCTAGGGAGCTCGCTGGCGTGAGTACAATCTTGCCTGATCGGTAGTAGCCACGGCCTCCTTTTTTTAACGCGGAGGATTAAAAATAGAACCCCGCTTTGCCTGTGTGTCAGGCGGTCGAACTAGCTTGCTTTTTGGCTTCACGGGATTTCTTTTTTGTGTGACTTGCAGGGACCCCCGTGGCCTTTGTGGTTCCGTGGATGGCTGCCAAGTACTTGAAGGAGAATACAGAGTAAGTGGTCATGGGGTTGCATAGGAGCTGGTGCCACAGGGAGCCAGTTTGGTGTAGTGGTTAGGGGCATGGACTCTAATCTGGGAGAACCGGGTTTGATTCCCCCACTCCTCCACACGGAGCTGCTGGTGTGACCTTGGGTCAGTCACAAGTTCTCTCAGAGCTGTTCTCTCAGGAGCAGTCCTCGAAAGAGCTCTCTCAGCCCCACCGACCTCACAGGGTGTCTGTTGTGGGGAGGGGGAGGGAAAGGAGTTTGTCAGCCGCTCTGAGACTCCTCTGGGTACTGAAGGGCGGGGTATAAATCCAATCTCTTCTCTTCGCCAGTTTGGTGTCGTGGTTAAGTGTGCGGACTCTGATCTGGGAGAACCGGGTTTGATTCCCCCACTCCTCCACTCGCACCTGCTGACGTGACCTTGGGTCAGTCACAAGCTCTGGCACAGCTGTCCTTGAAAAAGAGCAGTTTGTGTCAGAGTTCTCTCAGCCCCACCCACCTCACAGGGTGTCTGTTGTGGGGAGGGGAAGGGAAAGGAGTTTGTAAGCCGCTCTGGGACTCCGAGTGAAGGGCCATGGGGTATAAATCCAATCTCTTCTCTTCTTCTTATACCGTGGTTTTATGCTGTGTCTTTACTTTCCCTGACTCTTTGGTGCTTCTGACCTTGGGGACAGCGCACGGCTTGGCAAAGTAGACCTGGTGGAATCTTAGATTCCCAGTTGGGCTTTCCTGCCAGTTTAAACCTGTGCTGAACTACGCGCATCTCCTTGCTGTTGTAGGTGCTGGGCCCTGAACGAGAACATGGCTTATTGGTGGATTATTCGGATCCCCATCCTGCTAGCATCGGTGGTAAGTGCCTTGCGCTATAGGGACCGCGATGCCTTCCTAATGGCTGCAGGATACCAAGCGGGCTTCGCCCCGTCTCGGGCTCCCGACGGGAATGGCAGCGCTTCCCCTGGCAAAACGTGACCACTCCTTTGCCCAGCAGTGTGTCACGTACCAAAGTCCACCCAAGGTGTCCAGGGGGGAAAAAAGCAGTCGGGGGCCCCAGTGTTCCCTGTAAGCTGAGTGAGTGTGAGCCAGCTCTCAGTTTTTTAGCCTCCGGCTCACAGATTTTTGTCTCAGCTCAGGAAGGAGGGCTCCAGAGCAAACTCATTGATGCAGCGGCCAAATCGCTCACTGACCGCTTTAATGCCAGGAGCTCACAAAGTAGAATTTTTGCTCACAAGACTCCACAGCTTAGAGGGAGCATTGGACCCCAGGGAATTTCTTCCCAACCGATTGCAAACTGAAGATGTCACTGCCAGTGTTCCCTCTAAGCTGAGTGAGTGTGAGCCGGCTCACAGTTTTTTAGCCTCCGGCTCACAGATTTTTGTCTCCGCTCAGGAAGGAGGGCTCCAGAGCGAACTAATTTGTGCAGGAGCCAAATCGCTCGCTCACAACTTTAATGCCAGCAGCTCATAAAGTAGCATTTTTGCTCACAAGACTCCGCATCTTAGAGGGTGCATTGCTTGTAAGCAGTGTTCCCTCTAAGCTGAGTGAGTGTGAGCTAGCTCTCAGTTTTTTAGCCTCCGGCTCACAGATTTTCGTCTCAGCTCAGGAAGGAGGGGGCTCCAGAGCAAACTCATCGATGCAGAAGCCAAATCGCTCGCTGGCGGCTTTAATGCCAGCAGCTCACAAAGTAGGATGTTTGTTCACGCGACTCCACAGCTGAGAGGGAGCCTTGGTTGGGGCGATCTTCCAGGACTGTGCCATTTGGAATGCTGGGTCTAGGGCTGTGTGACGGCATGCTTGAAGGCGCCTCCCCGTGGCGCCCCCCCACTCCTCACACATGGAAGGCTCAGTAAGTCACATCGGAAAAGGAGTCAGCTGTGTGTGAGAGAGAGGCTCTTGCGGTCTGAACGGCACAGTCTTGGGAGGACTGTACCACATGCTAATTCTCAGGGCTTTTTTGGGGGGGAAGAGGTGCCGGAACTCTTAAGAGGGAAAGGAAGTTTTCAGTCTTGTCTACTGAAAACCCATGAACTTGTAAATGTTTCTTAAAAGAATTTTGTGAAGAGGTTCTGGGGCTCTGTTCCAGCACATTCCCCCAGGGGGAAAAAAGCCTCAACACAGTCTCGTGAGCAAAAATTCTACTCTGTGAGCTACGGGCATTAAAGTTGTGACCGAGCGATTGGGCTATGGTATAAATCAGTTGGCTCTGGAGCCCCATCCTTCCTGAGCTCAGACAAAAATGTGTGAACCGGAGGCTAAAAAACGGTGAGCTAGCTCACACTCCCTCAGCTTAGAGGGAACACTGGATCCGACCCACCTCTTCCCCAGTTCTTATGAGCGTCAGTCGGGAACAATGCTCCCTCTAAGCTGTGGAGTCTTGTGAGCAAAAATCCTACTTTGTGAGCCTCTGGCATTAAAGCTGTGAGTGAGCGATTGGGCTGCCGCATCAATTAATTTGCTCTGGAGCCCCATCCTTCCTGAGCCAACACAAAAATGTGTAAACCGGAGGCTAAAAAACTGAGCTAGCTCACACTCACTCAGCTTAGAGGAAACACGGCGGCCGATTCTGCACATCCGAAATGGCTTCGGTGCTTGTGATAGAGACCTCGAAACGCCTGAAGTGGGCTAAAACATTGAGGCCCGTTGTTCCGCTCTGAAGAAAAGTCGGGTCACGTCACTTTTGTAAAACTTTTTTTTTGGGCTCACCGTTCACCCCAGACTTAACATTTCTAAAACGGCCCTAGAATAAAACTTTAGCGTGAGAGGTATCGAAACAAACGGGGAAAAACAACAGCGAGTCTTCCCGTCACGACACTGAAGATCTTGTCGTTTCTGCGTTGACTTCTGCATCGATTTTGAGACTGTCGCCCCAGTCTCTGGTCACTCCTGGCAGGCGAGAGAAGCCCCCCCCCAAGGGTGTGAAAAATGTCTGCCTTTCCGGAAGTTGCCGGTGGCCCTGCGGGATGCCTTGTTCCGTGTGGAGAAGGTACAGTGTTCATTGAAGAATGGGCAGCTGGGCCTAGAAAGCCGACTGAGGTGGCCCCCGGGGACGCGCCTTAGTTGTGCCGGTGGTACGAATTCAGTTGGGCCACGGACCACTGCAGGGCTTTCCATTTCTTCACGGTGTCCTTCGCCACCGTGGCCGCCAGGACGACCGTGACGATGAAGGTGACGAGGCCCGTGAGGATGGCCACGAAGTTGAAGATCTTGGCCGTCTTGCCGAAGCGGGTCGCCCCTTCGAAGTCGCGGACGAACTTGCAGTCCCTCGCCTTGACGGAGTAGATGAGGGCGACGAAGCCGAAGCAGAAGCTGTTCAGGAACAGGGTGTTGAAGAGCGACCAGAGGACGTAGTCGGGCGGCGGCTTCTCGACCGTGAGGACGGTGGCGTGGGCGACCCACGGCTGGTTGTAGGGGCCCGGGTGCCGAGGCTGCCCCTGGACATACGGGGCCTGCATTTCGAGGTACAGAGAAGGTGGGACGGGCGGGACGGGCGTGATCGGCGGGTGCATGGGCTACCAAGGGTCGCGGGCACGGAGCCAAGGAGAGGGCCAGCCCATGTCCCAGCTTCCACTTGATGGACGGAAGGTCAGACGTCGCCGTGGGGACTGTTAAACAGCAGTCCTCACTCTGGTCCGAAGATGGTTCTATGAAGTTGCCAAGCAACAGCCGGAGGGAATAACTGCCAACTGTCAGTCCCTCCCTATCATGGGCGGGGAATCAGTGTTCCCTCTAAGCTGAGTTAGTGTGAGCCAGCTCACAGTTTTTTAGCCTCCGGCTCACACATTTTTGTCTTCGCTCAGGAAGGGTGGGCTCCAGAGCAAACTAATTGATGCAGTAGCCAAATTGCTTGCTCACAGCTCTGATGCCGGTAGCTCACAAAGTAGAATTTTTGCTCACAAGACTCCACAGCTTAGAGGGAGCATTGGCGGGGACCCTCGGTTTACCTTCCCAAGTGGACCGCAGTGCTTTTTAATCCTGTCTTTATCCCTCCCTCCCTCCTGTTGTACGCTCTGCTTATGAAACACTTTGCACTCTGCCACTGACTAAGTCAGTTTAACTTAGTAGGTGCACTTAACACTTCTGTTGTACACATCGCTTATGAAACCCTTTGCACTCTGCCACTGACTAAGTCAGTCTAACTTGGTAGGTGCACTTAACTCTTCCATGGTGCATACGTTAAGTGCCTTTGAGGATTCTAATCACAGTGACTGAAATCAATCATGAACATCTATTCAGATATTCACTTTGGTTCATTGCTTAAATGCATCCTGGGTAAAATACCAAATGCTGACAGGCAGTAACTGACCAGCTGTAACTACGCATGTTCCTGATGTCGGCTCACTTGCGTTAGATGGAGAATATATTGCATGGTGTACCCGTATCTGTTACATTAAGATACGTTTTGTTAGCTTCACAGCCTGAAAAGAAGGCCTATAATGTTTAGCTGGAGGAGGTATATTTTTGCCTGAGAAAATCCAACCCACGGGTTCGGACCCAATCAGAATGGTGTGACGGATAGGTGACAAACTTTGATGGAACCAATAATTATGTCTTAGTTCTAAGTGTCATCGGGGGTATAAAATCTTATGTCTCCCGTTGTAACCGTAGGGAGAGCCGTGGGTATCCAAGGATTCAAAACCTTGTTGTGCCTCTACTTTTCCTCCTTTATTAATAAAGTTTTTCCAGTTTGCATTCTCCTCTACAAGACTGCCGAGTGCTTTCTCAAATTGGGCTGGGGAAGCACCACCCGTGACGGAGTTTCTGTCTTACACTCCCAAGAGCTCGGGTGGCACAAGGGATTCTCTCTTCCTATGTTTTACCCTCACGGCGACCCTGTAGGGCAGTGGTTCTCAACCTTCCTAATGCCGCGACCCTTTAATACAGTTTAATACAGTGGAACGAGCTCCCAGAGGAGAATCAGGGCTCTGCGGGACCTAGCACAGTTCCGCAGGGCCTGCAAGACGGAGCTCTTCCGCCAGGCTTTTGAATAGGAGCCGCCACCACTAGTGTACTACCTACCATCGCACTAGTTTACCATCTACCCCCATATATGGACATCAGGACAGGGGCACGTACACCTAGGCCCCATAACCGCTGCACTATGGGTGAGAACGGGACGGTTAGGGGGTGGCCATCTTGTTTTTAGAAATTGTAATTTGGAGATTGGAAATTAGCTGAGAGAAGCACCAAAATCTGTTTTAATGGGGTTGTAATTTCATATTTTGTACTGTTTTACTGTTTTATTCGGCAATATGCCCTGTAAGCCGCCCTGAGCCTTCGGGGAGGGCGGGATAGAAATATGAAGAATAAATAAATAAAGTTCCTCATGTTGTGGTGACCCCCAACCATAAAATTATTTCCGTTGCTACCTCATAACTGTAATTTTCCGGCTGTTGTGAATCGTAACGTAAATATCTGACATGCAGGATGTATTTTCATTGCTACACATTGAACATAATTAAAGCATAGTGATTAATCACAAAGACCATCCAAAATCTGTGCTTTCCGATGGTCTTCGGCGACCCATGTGAAAGGGTTGTTCGACCCCCAAAGGGGTCGCGACCCACAGGTTGAGAACCGCTGCTGTAGGGGATCCGGGTAGGCTAGGCTGGGAGATAGTGCTGGCCCGGTTGGGTGTCGTGGTTAGGAGCGTGGACTCTAATCTGGGAGGACCGGGTTCGATTCCCCACTCCTCCATGTGCAGCTGCTGGTGTGACCTTGGGCCAGTCACACGTTCTGTCAGAGCTGCTCTCTCAAGGGCAGTCCTCCAAAGAGCTCTCTCGGGGTGTCTGTTGTGGGGAGGGAAAGGGGACCGTCAGCCGCTCTGAGACTCCTTCGGGTAGTGAAGGGCGGGGTAGAAATCCAATCTCTTCTTGAAATGCGCCCCGTCCCTGCCTGCAGGGGGAATATTTGCCAACTTTAACACCGCCGCTCCCCCTCCCTCCCTTTCACTCCAGATCAACCTACTGATCTTCATGCAGATCCTCAAGGTGATCTTGGCCAAGCTGCGAGCCAACCAGAAGGGCTACGCCGACTATAAGTTGCGGTGAGTGTGATTGCCGGGGCTGGGAGGGAGAGCCTGCCGACTCCAGCATCTGCCATGAACATTGTGCTCTTAGTGTGACTAGACACTCAGAGGAAAAGTTATGTCTGAGTCCGGAAACACCTTAAAGGTAAAGGTTCCCTTGCTCGAAAGCCAGTCGAGTCCGACTCTAGGGTTGCGGTGCTCATCTCCGTTTCAAAGCCGAAGAGCCAGCGCTGTCCGAAGACGTTTTCCGTGGTCATGTGGCCAGCATGACTAAACACCAAGGCGCACGGAACGCTGTTACCTTCCCACCAAAGTGGTCCCTATTTATCTACTTGCAATTTCTTGCTTTCGAACTGCTAGGTTGGCAGGAGCTGGAACCAGAGACGGGAGCTCACTCCGTCATGCGGCAACTCGGGTCTCGAACTACTGACCTTCCACAGCCTGCAGTTCAGCGTCTTAACCACTTGAGCCACTAAGAGTTTCAGGGTCAAAGACTCTCGAAAGCTTCCGCCCTGAAAGGAGTGTTCATTCATGACGGGCACGGGCTGGATTACTTGCCGGGCTTTCGTACTGTGTATGCCTCCAACTTGCCACGGTGTCTGATTGTGGGCACCTTAGTTTGGTAGAGAGCCAGTTTGGCAGAGTGGTTAAGAGTGGCGGACTCAAATCTGGAGACCTGGGCTTGATTCCCCACTCCTCCACACGAAGCCAAACTGGGTGACCTTGGGTCAGTCACAGTTCTCTCAGAGCTGCCCTCTCAAGAGCAGAGCTCTCTCGGCCCCGCCTACATCGCAGGGTGTCTGTTGTGGCGAGAGGAAGGGAAAGGAGATGGTCAGCCGCTCTGGGACTCCTTTGGGTAATAAAAACCAACTCTTCTTCTTAGACCTTTTCCCACTACCTGGGATCTTAGTCGGGATTCAACCGTGGCCAAAAGACCTCGTCACTGGGAGAGAAACTGCCGTTTGTGAAGAAGCCCATGTTCAGACAACCCAACAAATTGGGGATGGACTGAAGACAGACGTCTCTGGTCTCAGTCAATGTTCCCTCTAAGCTGAGTTAGTGTGAGCTAGCTCACAGTTTTTCAGCCTCCAGCTCACAGATTTTTGTCTTCGCTCAGGACTCCAGGGCCAACTAATTTATGCAGTAGCCAAATCACTCGCTCACAAATTTCATGCCAGTAGCTCACAGAGTAGAATTTTTGCTCAGAAGACTCCACAGCTTAGAGGGAACATTGGTCTCAGTACATCACGACACTTAACCAACTTCATGCCCATTGCGAGCATGGTCATGACATCTGAACAGAGCCTCGTCTTCCATTCTAGCTTCCTCTCCTGTTTTGTCTTCCTCTGGGCATAGAGCAGGGGTCACTGGAGGAGTGGAAATTCATGGACCTCTGCTCCAGATGTTTCTCCAGTCCCCTCTTGAAGCTGTCCACACCTGTAGCCACCACCACTTCCTCTGGAAGGGAATTCCATGTGTCAATTATTATTCGGGTGAAGAAGTACTTCCTTTTATCCCTTCTAAACCTACCGCTCCTTAATTTCATTGAGTGTCCACGAGTTCCTGCATTGGGAGAAAGCGAGAAAAGGACTTCTTTCCTCTACCTTCTCCTTGGTCCCTTCCAGCTTTCCATTTCTCTCCTTCCCAGGCTAGCCAAAGCGACCCTCACCCTCATCCCTCTCTTTGGGATCCACGAGGTGGTCTTCATTTTTGCCACAGACGAACAGACCACGGGTGTCCTGCGCTACGTCAAAGTGTTCTTCACGCTATTCCTCAACTCCTTCCAGGTGGGTTAGAAAGGGTTCTGGGTTCGGATTCTCTCTCTGTCATAGCTTCTTTTCTCTCCCCCCCGCCCCAAGCCACTTCAGGGCTTTCGGTAAGGAACGGTTCCCATATTCTGATTTGCCTCTTGGAAGCTGGAGATGCGAGTCAGGATTATACCTCTGTGGACGAGGCAAAAATGAGACAGGTCAACAGGAGCGGCTGTGTAGAAGATGCATTAATTGATTAATCATTGCATAGCGCTGTGTGTGGTGGAAAAGCCGGGAGATCCCCGGGGGGGGGGGGTTTGTTTGGCTGCCGAAGCTGTAGCTCCTTTTTGGCACCACTAGGTGGCGAGCTATGCTTATTCGTAGGCTGAGAGTGCTGTGATATGCCTAAGGTCCCCCAGCTAGCTTGAAGTGGGGAATCGAACCCGGTTCCCCAGATTAGAGTCTGCCGCTCTCTGCACCACACTGGCTCTCGCCGGAAGATGCAATGCTGTAGCTTTAGGGTAAACTGAAGGGATTAGTTAATGCATTACTGAAGATAGTCCCCACAGGAAAGGTTTGTGCGGGAGACTCTACTGAACACATGAAGCTGCCTTATACCGAATCAGACGACTGGTCCATCAAGGTCGGCACTGTCTATACTCGGACCAGCAGCTGCTCTCCAGGGTCTCAAGGTCTTTTCACATCACCTCCTGCCTGGCCCTCTTCTAATTGGAGGTGCTGGGGATTGAACCAGGGACCTTCTACATGCGAAACGGAGGCTCTGCCGCTGAGCCATGGCCTCTCCTCCTGTTACACTGTGCCCAGCTAGTAGTTCTGTGTAACGAAAGCGCCAGGGGCCAAGGAACCACCCCTTCCTTCCCTTTCTGTCTATGCCTACATAAGAATATAAGAGAGACGCCAATGTTGGATCAGGCCAAAGGCCCATCCAGTCCAACACTCTGTGTCACACAGTGGCCAGAAATACCAGGTGCCATCAGGAGGTCCACCAGTGGGGCCAGGACACTAGAAGCCCTCCCACTGTTGCCCCCCCAAGCACCAAGAAGACAGAGCATCACTTGCCCCACAGCCCCTATCTATACCTTGTGGCTAAGAGCCACTGATGGACCTCTGCTCCATATAAGAACATAAGAGACGCCAATGTTGGATCAGGCCAAAGGCCCATCCAGTCCAACACTCTGTGTCACACAGTGGCCAGAAATACCAGTGCCATCAGGAGGTCCACCAGTGGGGCCAGGACATTACAAGCCCCCCCACTCTTGACCCCCCCCCCCAAGCCCCAAGAAGACAGAGCATCCCTTGCCCCAGAGCCCCTATCTATACGTTGTGGCTAAGAGCCACTGATGGACCTCTGCTCCATATGCTTATCTAATTCCCTCTTGAAGCCATCCATGCTTGTAGCCGCCACCACTTCCTGTGGCAGTGAATTGCATGTGTGCATCACTCTTTGGGTGAAGAAGTACTTCCTTTTATCCGTTCTAATTCAGATTCATCTGATCTTTTCTTTCTATCAGGGGTTCCTGGTTGCTGTACTCTACTGCTTTGCAAACAAAGAGGTAGGTCATTCTTGGTCATGCATCCATTTTTTTTGGGGGGGGGAAGTTCCCACTTTTCCATTAAAAGAATGCCCAGCAGAAACCATTGAGGCCTGGACTAGGACTGGTGTGCTGCCGGTGGCCATTGATTTTTTGGAGAGGGGTCTCCTATACATTTTGGCTGGAAGGAAGGCAGCATGACCTTGGAAGCTAAGCAGGGTCAGCACTTGGGTGGGAGACCACTGAGAAAGGCTAACCACCTCTGCTTCTGACTTGTCTTGGAAGCCCCTTGCTGGGGTCACCATAAGTCCTGGATGGGAGACCACCAAGGAAGACTCTGCAGAGGAAGGCAACGGCCAACCACCTCTGCTTCTCACTTGTCTTGGAAGCCCCTTGCTGGGGTCACCATAAGTCCTGGATGGGAGACCACCAAGGAAGACTCTGCAGAGGAAGGCAACGGCCAACCACCTCTGCTTCTCACTTGTCTTGGAAGCCCCTTGCTGGGGTCACCATAAGTCCTGGATGGGAGACCACCAAGGAAGGCTCTGCAGAGGAAGGCAATGGCCAACCACCTCTGCTTCTCCCTTGCATTGGAAGCCCCTTGCTGGGGTCACCATAAGTCCTGGATGGGAGACCACCAAGGAAGGCTCTGCAGAGGAAGGCAACGGCCAACCACCTCTGATCCTCCCTTGCCTTACTCAGCTTGCCAAAAGTTGGTTGTGACTTGAGAGCACTTTGCACATACATTTTTGGCTACTGGAACTGTGTGCCATGTCACACACTCCTCTATGGCTCTGGCCTTTGGTTTGTTCCTACATCTCCCCCCCCCCCTTTCTCTTGGTGCTGGGGGGGGACAGTGGGAGGGCTTCTGGAGTTCTGGCCCCGCTGGTGGACCTCCTGATGGCACCTGGGTTTTGGCCACTATGTGACACAGAGTGTTGGACTGGATGGGCCGTTGGCCTGGTCCAACATTGGCTTCCCTTATGTTCTTCTTATGACGGTTGCCCCAGTGTCTGTCCTCGGCCCGGTGGGGCTTTCACTCTTCGTGCAGCCTGCCTCTGCCGCACCATGTGAGGAGCTGAATGTGGGTCCCTGGTAAGAGGGGAAGACGGCTGGGCTAACCTGGGAGGGGTTCTCTGGCAGAGTTCTTCCCGACACCTGATCACCTTCCCTGCCATTGCTTGAGGCGGGCACCTCATACTGGCCAAGCGGGTGCTCCGCTGGGAAACCAGGGTCTGTCTGCTCAAGCGGAAGAAAGCAATACAATTATTATTAGTATTATTATTATTTTTTAAAATGCCCCCGGACACTGTGAGATCTCACTCAAAAATTAATACCCTCCCTTTCGCCCAGGTGAAATCTGAAATGAAAAAGAGGTGGCACCTCTGGAAACTGGATCACACCGCGTTCTGCTGCACCCAGTGAAGAAGAGCGATCCAAACCGGCAAGGGAATGGGCAGAAGCGGCCAGGGCG